TTAAAGAAAGAAGTTGGGCCAAGCTTCTAAACTTTGAACCGACCTACCGATATAGCGGTCGTCGAAAGGCCCGATTGACCGATTTCCTACTTGAGGAAGCACCAGAACCGGACCCAACCTTACCCGAAATACGACTTGTCCCATTAACTGCTGAAGAAGAGATGGCAAAGAAAAGCAGAGTTAGGGCCCTTCTGACCGCAACAATCAGGGCCGAAGTACCACCAACTATTGAGGCGCAGCCTGCCGTTGTGGCCCTCCCTTCTCAGCAGCCTTCTTCATCTCGCCCTTCCAAACGCGCCCGATCTGCATCGACCGAACAGCAACTTGTGGATGAGGTTGAATCCATCCCCCAAAGTCCTCAACCTACCCTCCAACCGGAGCAAACTGACCGGGTAGAATCTTCGAAATGGGCTCCGCAGCTAACCTTCAACGACCGAGACATCAGATCTTCTGATTCGGTTGTTGCCGAAAAAGATCACATATTGGCTTTTAATCTGGCAAAAAGTGTGTGCCTTCCGAAGGACATGGAGCACCACCTCAAGCAATTGAACACCGAGATGAAGTCCATCCGGTCTACATCGAAGTCCATGATTTTGGTAAGTAGCTCTGTCCATTTTTTTCTGTTTAAATTTTCCAACTTTCACTTCGGCTCAAGGGAAATCTTTGTTTTGCCAGGCCTTACAAAAGAACAATATTACTTACAAAAAAGTCCAAGAACTAAGAAAAACCACAAGGCAAGCAATGGCGGAAGCCGAGGCAAAGGCGGCCGAACTAGAGGAGGCCGAAAAGAAAATGACCGAGCTACAAGCAGAGAACGGTCGACTTGCCGATCTGGTTAGCTCGACTGAAGCGGAGAGGCAGAAAGCGGCCATCGCTATGAAAGACAAATATTTGCGCGAGCTGGTAAAGCTTGAAAAGAGAAAGGATACCGAAATAAGCCAACTAAAAAAGAGCGTGGAGGGAGCCGAAAAGCAGGGTTACAAGCAGGGTTACAAGAAGGCAGAGGAAGCATATGTGAAACAGTGCGATGCTGCCAAGGAGTTGTTCTTCAAGTGCGGCTGGAGGGCGGCCGTTGAAAAGCTCGGTCTTGATCCACAGACCGAGGTTTTCAACCCTCCAGCCTATTTTATACTGAGCTCTCTTGCGGACTATGCCAATGCCCTGCAACAAGAGTTTCTGGACGAGTCAGAATCCGATGACTCCATTTCTGAAGATACTCCGGTCGATAATGTGGACCAGCCAGTCCGGTCGGAGCCCATTGTGGAAGACCTAACAGTTGGTCTTCCCAGTGAAACCGTGATTCCAGCCGAAGTGACTCTCCCTATTGTGAATGAGCTCCCTCAAGAAACTGGTCTTCAAGTTGATGGTGATGCAGCTTTTGATGCTGATATTGAAGAACTTTTTTCTTGATTTTTTTCTTCTTTTCTTTGTTGCTCTTTGCCGTTGTAACCGAACTATGAACCTCCTTTGTAATAGTTTCAATGAATGAAAAATTTTTCTTCAACTCTTGTTCTGGTTCTGATATGTATGTCTGTACTTTGTAATGCCTTCAGTTACTCCAACTGTTATTTCGGTTTTGGCTGGTTAAACTATGCTTACTAGCCAACCACTCCTTAGCCGATATAATCACCTCGGCTGAGGAGTACAAAGTGTTTAATCTAGCCAATCCAATTTCAGCCATACCCTTACTTTGGCTGAAGAGTAACAGGAGTTGGTTTATTCCAGCCAACCACTCTTCAGCCTTGCACTTAGTTCGGCTGAAGAGTAAGAAGTGTTGGTTTATTCCAGCCAACCACTCTTCAGCCTTGCACTTACTTCGGCTGAAGAGTAAGAGTTGGTTTATTCCAGCCAACCACTCTTCAGCCTTGCACTTACTTCGGCTGAAGAGTAAGAGTTGGTTTATTCCAGCCAACCACTCTTCAGCCTTGCACTTACTTCGGCTGAAGAGTAACAGGTGTTGGTTTATTCCAGCCAACCACTCTTGAGCCTTGCACTTACTTCGGCTGAAGAGTAATAGGTGTTGGTTTATTCCAGCCAACCACTCTTCAGCCTTGCACTTACTTCGGCTGAAGAGTAACAAGAGTTGGTTTATTCCAGCCAACCACTCTTCAGCCTTGCACTTACTTCGGCTGAAGAGTAACAAGAGTTGGTTTATTCCAGCCAACCACTCTTCAGCCTTGCACTTACTTCGGCTGAAGAGTAACAAGAGTTGGTTTATTCCAGCCAACCACTCTTCAGCCTTGCACTTACTTCGGCTGAAGAGTAACAAGAGTTGGTTTATTCCAGCCAACCACTCTTCAGCCTTGCACTTACTTCGGCTGAAGAGTAACAAGAGTTGGTTTATTCCAGCCAACCACTCTTCAGCCTTGCACTTACTTCGGCTGAAGAGTAACAAGAGTTGGTTTATTCCAGCCAACCACTCTTCAGCCTTGCACTTACTTCGGCTGAAGAGTAACAAGAGTTGGTTTATTCCAGCCAACCACTCTTCAGCCTTGCACTTACTTCGGCTGAAGAGTAACAAGAGTTGGTTTATTCCAGCCAACCACTCTTCAGCCTTGCACTTACTTCGGCTGAAGAGTAACAAGAGTTGGTTTATTCCAGCCAACCACTCTTCAGCCTTGCACTTACTTCGGCTGAAGAGTAACAAGAGTTGGTTTATTCCAGCCAACCACTCTTCAGCCTTGCACTTACTTCGGCTGAAGAGTAACAAGAGTTGGTTTATTCCAGCCAACCACTCTTCAGCCTTGCACTTACTTCGGCTGAAGAGTAACAAGAGTTGGTTTATTCCAGCCAACCACTCTTCAGCCTTGCACTTACTTCGGCTGAAGAGTAACAAGAGTTGGTTTATTCCAGCCAACCACTCTTCAGCCTTGCACTTACTTCGGCTGAAGAGTAACAAGAGTTGGTTTATTCCAGCCAACCACTCTTCAGCCTTGCACTTACTTCGGCTGAAGAGTAACAAGAGTTGGTTTATTCCAGCCAACCACTCTTCAGCCTTGCACTTACTTCGGATGAAGAGTAACAAGTGTTGGTTTATTCCAGCCAACCACTCTTCAGCCTTGCACTT